AGATGGCATAGGTGAAGACGTTAAAGTGAGGAGGATCGAAAAAGCAAGGCGGATATTCATTACTCTGAAATCATTGTGGAAATCTGCTGGGTTTAGTACAGGGAACAGGATCTGGATCTTTAAGTACTGGTGTCAAATCAAAGACTTTTCGAGTCATCGAAAGCATTTCGGACAGGCTAGAGACTTTGTCTTTGATGGCTCCATAATGAAGGCTAGACGGCCGGTTTGTCAGAATCAGTGAGCAACTAGGAACTCTGGCTGGTGGAAAACCAACCAAGAACCTGTCACTCATCAAGTATGCCGAAAGTAGTGGAAATTAATCGGACACACGCGTAGAAGACCGATGAGTGGTATCATGCTTCAGGCACTCGAACTGGGAGCCTTTAGACCGTCGTAGAGTTAGCTGAAGGCGATCGCAGAGAAGGGGATGAAATCGAGATGTGTCGTCGAAGCCTTCTGTACGACTCGTAAGCCAAGGGAATAATTACAATAAGTTGCTATTTTCTTATCTTCTGACAAGGAGAAGACAATTCTATTCTTACAAGATTCTGAAATAAGGTACAAGAATTAAACGGTTCTGTAATTATATTTTCAGGATGTCGTTTTAGAAAACCACCTAGAGAATCTTTCGAAAAGCACTACAATGCCCCATAATTTAGTACGATCTATGTTTTCTACTCGAATTTTACCGTTGATTTACCGAAAATGTGAAATACTAAAAATATATTATGAATATAGAGGCTCCAAAGTGCTTTTAAATAAAATGACATAGTCATCAACAGCATCATGAAGGTGATTTGATTGATGAACTGTGTTTTGACCGAAACTACGACCTAGTGAACTATGAGCTAATACTAACTTAATGCGCTGGTTAATCTGTCCTAATCGCACGTCAACAACAACAAGAATAATACTGCCAGGAAGGAAAGACAGAAGAGAAGACTGGACGTAGGTAAGAGAGCTTTTTACTGTCTCAAAACAACAGTGAAAAAAGGCGGACAGAGCTTGCGTGCATGTGTTTAGAATGACCTTGAGAAGCCCTAATGTCATTGAGAAATTAAGACAGTGAACAACCAATAGGGTTCCAAAGGTTAAAAGTAGGGTGAGAAAAATTCAGGTCATAAAGGAATAAGTGTAGTGAGAGAAACGCATGTGGAAAATGAGGTCTATAAATATATCAAATTGAAAAGATTTCGGCAAATAATCATACAAAAGGCATCGGTCAAAATAAATGGGAGTAAAGCAATAGTCCCAGAAAATTTGAGCAACTCCAAAAAAATTATGATTTATAAGTGTTGCGTGTGTGACCACGGATTGATATCGGTTAGAGAAGCATTGAAAACCAGCGAGTACTGGACATCTGTTTCATCCTAGTTCGGGAATCATCGGCAGTACGCACCCGCCCCAGTGGGGTTCGAACCCAGGACCTTCCGGTTACACTTGTTGTGTTTATAAGTGAGGGTGTAGATCATTTACTGGACTACAAATCATTTGCCATTGTCCGCAAATGATATGGGAAAAACAAACTACGCTTTAGGCCACATCAGTGTATGTCTACAAATTCACTTGCTTCTGTGGAGCTATCTATATGGGTTGCATATTGTACTGACTTCGGAAATCAATCCGAAAACATCACGTATCACTGATACCAATCGGTTAACACTAGCTCATTTCTTGAGCAGCTAATAAACTCCAACTACAGAGATACGCTACACCACTTGGGACTTGTTATCAAAATGATTGTGAATGCTACAAAAAGTGTCAGATTCCGACAGTTGTGCATGACAGAGGTCCTTGTAATTCAAGAATTCCAGCTCTAACTTTCTTTTCCACAAAAAGCTTTTTTACTTAGTCTGTGTTTGCATTTATTTTTTCTTCACGTTCCCCATTGGAACATACATTGGCTTCAAGCTAGTGGCTTGAAGTTTCTGTAGCAGCGTTTATTTTACAGGATGGGGTTGCTAGCCTCATGCCCGACCTTTCCTCTTCCCCAGCATTATTTCTGGCTTAGCGAGGTAAAGGAGTACGTCGGCTGGGGCTCGAACCGCGGAGCATGTGCATGGTCGGAGAGCGTCCTAACCGCTATGCTACCGACGCACCTGTATTTGTACCATGACTCCAAATTATTTCCAACATATTGTGTTTTATTTTATTTTAGTAATTAATTCACTATTTTCACTCTTAACGTGTTCTTTTATTCCACCTTGTTCGTTTCTGTGTCTCCATTAAACTTAGGGAGTGGATACCCGGCCTAGTTTTAAAATCTTACTTCCACAGCCTTGTTCGTGTACTTACTTTATTACATTTTTCCCTTTTTTATGAAACTAATTCTGACTTACTGTATTAGTGATATTACAGCCCTTTTATTATTCACTAATCTACTATTATAGTGGAAATGCATGACGCTATATATTACTGATTGACTGACACGAGTAAATGAATACAATTCACATCAAACAGTAGTACTCGCTAGGCAGGTGAGAAATGATCTCAAGACAGGACAGCCGTTTCGCTATTTTAAGGTGGGGCTCATCAGAGGTGTGCCCGGTTCTGTTCAACTCATAGAGATGAATCATTTAAAACCCACTCGAATTCTGGCTAGCTACTTGGACGAAATGGCAGTGCGTTAAATCGAATTCGCAACTTGGAATTTACACAGTTCCAGGTGACATTTCACCACAGTTTCCTTTGGAAGCCGAAATTATTCAGGTTGTAATATGTGATCTGCTTGCTATATAAGATGGCGATCAAGAAAGCAAGCATAAATGCATAACACTATATACCAATGATCGACTGAGATGACTAGTTGGATAGTGCTCACATCAACCAGTAGAACCTGGTAGCCATACTGAAGTGATCTAAATGCCGGATGACCATGCCGCCGGTTCGGGACCGGGCTCACCATCAGCGTAGCCGGTTTGACTTCAGAGGAGGCGATTAAGTGATAGTTTCAGTGACTATTTAACTATTATGGACATATGACTGCTGTATTCATCAATCAGTCATTAGAAATTTACAATTAGCTTCCTTAATCTATTCCTGAAGCCCAGATAGTTGAGAGGAAATTCCAAATCATGAAACGTGTGAGTATATACCATCCAAAACATGGAATACTAAGAAAGGAATCAACCAGCAATAAACAACAACCAACTAAAAGTCTAGCAAATAAGTTACTATTCAAATGTTAGATCAACCGTCGAAATCAAAAATATTGATATCGGTGAAAATGCGTTTATTTCGCACAATATGACATAATCTTCAAAGAAAATTAAAACAAGTGATTCAGCGAAGTAACAATTGACATAATAAGGAAGAGACTACAAATTGAATAGACAAAAATGAAAAAATGAAAAATTGGTAGAGCTAAAGTATGATTGGGGATTACCATACTTTAGCATAGTGGGATTAAAACCATGAAAATTGGAAGGGTTGAACGAACTTTTTCTGTACACAGAGATCTGGCTTTTCTGCTTCGATAGCCAAAGCTTCAGCAATACAGATGAGTCGGGTGCGTAGGGATTTGGGTAAATTACTCTTTGCCTAGTAGATGACTTTAAAGGCAGAGGCTATAGAGATAGGGTGATCATTATCGACAAGATGCTCAATGATCGCGCTTCTTATTACTCCACTTCCACCATTTCGTAACAGTTTGGAGCTAGGTATATCGGTCGTTTGACTCGAGTTTTGTCCAAGAGGTTACAAGAACACTGTCCTGCATGGTTACGAAAAGGTGGAAGTGGAGTAATAAGAAGCGCGATCATTGAGCATCTTGTCGATAATGATCACCCTATCTCTATAGCATCTGCCTTTAAAGTCATCTACTAGGCAAAGAGTAATTTACCCGAATCCCTACGCACCCGACTCATCTGTATTGCTGAAGCTTTGGCTATCGAAGCAGAAAAGCCAGATCTCTGTGTACAGAAAAAGTTCGTTCAACCCTTCCAATTTTCATGGTTTTAATCCCACTATGCTAAAGTATGGTAATCCCCAATCATACTTTAGCTCTACCAATTTTTCATTTTTTCATTTTTGTCTATTCAATTTGTAATCTCTTCCTTATTATGTCAATTGTTACTATTACTACTCTCACGTTGAACTGTCCCTGGTATTATTGCACTTGTTCCACTTGTCATTCTAAATCACTTCTTTTTTTACAACGTTAAATTCTATGCTATCAAATTTCACACAATATTACTTAACGATTTTATTTTTTTCGATTTTTCTACTAATCCTATAATTGCACACCCTTTTTCAAGTTCTATCCATCCGATGAATTATTCTATATATGACATTAATTTGCTTTGTCACTTGACATTTAACTACAATTATAATCACAGACATTCTTGTTTTAATTGCATTACATATTATTATTTTATGCATTCACACCTATGATCCAATTCCCTCACCGGATATAACTTCTCAAAAACCATATTTATATATATATATATACGATTGTACAGCTTGATGATAAATTCGTTGAAAAGAGTCTCTTCGCTGAATCACTTGTTTTGATTTTATATGTTACAATGGGAATTTTCCATGAGTTAAAAAATAATCTTCAAAGTCAAAAAACATAATTGCATGACGCTACGCACTGCTGACTGATTATTAAGGGTATTTCGATACCGCTTATATCAACCAGTTTTGTTTACTAGCTAGAATTATGTTAGCTTTAATTGATTCGGTTCTCTGAGTGAAGTCAAATGAGCTCAGCCTGAAACTGGCCATTCGGGGTTCAAATCACTTTGATCTGGCTAGCTAGTTAGCTCTACCGGTCGATGTGAACGTTATCGACCTACTTATATCGACCGAACAGTCTTACATAACACCATTCATTCATGTTTGCTTTCTTGCATGTCAAGTATGCTATTAAGCAGATCACATGTGGCGATCTGAAGAAATTCGGTTTCCCAAGCAAAGTTTGGTGAGACTTCACCGTGAATTATTTAAATTGCAAATCACGAAATTTGATTTAGACTATTTTAGGTTAGTTATTTCACTTATCTAGGAAGCACCGTTTCAACGACCGGTTGAATGGATGAAGATATCAAACAGGCCGGAATGGGAAGCGGCGGGATACGCCTTCATCAACCTGAAACCAATTTGGAAATCTGCTGCCACACTCCACCTCAGCATAAAGAACAAGGTTCTCATTTTCAACACAAATGTGAAGTCAGTCAGTCAGTTCTTCTATACTGGTCAGAAACTTACTGTGGCGTCACAAAAAGGATTTCAAAAAGTTCCAGACTTTTATCAACAGCCGCCTTCGCCGGCTCCATAATGAAGATCAAATGGCCAGCTGGCCAGAAAGAAATAGCAACAAGAAACTCTGGTTGTGACAAGCCAGTCATGAGCCTATTGTTCAACAAATATGTAGGAGAAAATGGAGATGGATCAGGTATACGTTGAGGAGGCTGTGGACCTCAATGGCAAACGACGAGTGGGTCATCGGTGTGAAGTTGACATGGAGGAGAGTAGAATCCAGATGAAGAGGAGGGCAGAAAATAGAACAAAGTGGAGATGTGTTGTTGAAGCGTATGTTCCACTTGGAACTCAATGGAAAAATAATAATTATTAAAGCGTTTTCGTTGAGTATGAATAGATCTGTACAACCTATAAAGACGACTTTATTGACGAATGAAATCTTCTAAATGAAAACGTTTTCTGACTGACAAAAACCAAAAGTCAAGTTTTTAATTATTGCTCAACTTATTTTATGAATAATAGGTCATGTTAAGCTCTTCCTTGATTCTTTAAATAACTGGAATTTATTCAAATTGCATATTGGTCAATTTTATTTAAAACTGATAAATTAACATTCAAAAAAATTTTCATAATGAACTTTTTAGTTTTTTATTCAAATGTTTAACAATACGCCTTTATACATTGAACAATAGAACAGAAGCATATGATTTAAACAATAAGGAGGGGAGATAGAGAAAATGACAACCTTATTGAAGAAGCAGAATTAATTATTTTCCCTATTTAAGGTCTTTCTAATAACCAGAAAGACAATAGATAATTCCGTTAGATTTCCTTACCATACCTTACCTTTGTTTCTTAGTGAAGACAGTATTGTTTGTTTAAGAATTTAGACACTGTAAATACAATTTCGCAGAGAATCGTTAGCAGATGAGGTTTGTTTAAAACGCAGCAAGGAACTCTGATAGTTAGTCAGTCCGAAAATACTCAGAAGGGAATGGAAATAGACTAGATATACTCTGAAGAGACATTCAAATGATATCACATGCCAGGCCACCGATAGGGAATTTGAATGAGAAGAGACAGGTTAGGTGTCTGAGGATGACATGGAGGTCATGTGAAGAGAGAAGTAAAGATTATGGTCAATCGTGGAGTCATAAGAAAGTGATGGCAGTGAATGTAGTGGTACGGTGATGTACTGCTGAAGCCCTATGCTTCACTCGGAACCTAATAAACAAATAATGGGAATTGGTTTAATGAAGCCAATAGTAAGCTGTTGCATTTAAACTCAGAACTTAAGCGTAGCACTGCAAATGAGTTTCTTGAAAACCGTTTGATGAGGACAGTGAATGATACATTTTTTTCTACTACCTTACAGATAACTTAGTCCATCTTCTGCTGCACCCTAAAGTAAAGGAAACATTATCTGGATTGCTTAATTCCGTGAGCATCTGTTTGCTCACCCGCTCATTCGGAAATATGTTTATAAGCTGTTCATCGAGAAACATATGCTACAATCTTCGGAAGCCTTATCCTGTCTGGTTGAGGAAAGGAAAGAGTTCAGGCTTCAGTTCATCTATAGCACAACACGTACTAGACAACAACCACGCAGCCTGTGCTGCATCCTTCAATACCATCTACAAGTTCTGGTGGAATTAGCTGAAAGGTGTGCGAGTGCACTTGTTTCAAGTAATGGGAGTCTGGGCAATACATAACATGCAGACCGAATTTGTCTACAAAGACATTTTCTTCAACCTGTCTCGTTAGCTTGGATATGATTTTACCACGTGATTCACAGAACTTCATACCTTCTTTATTTTACGCTGTTTCACCCTTGTTTCACGTTATCATATTCTAAGACCTTTTCTGTTTTTATCAACGACAGTCTTCTTATCCTGCTTGCCCATCTTATTACATCTGACTTTGCTAGAAAAGAGGATATTATAGTAAAAAGGAATATTATATGCGTCAGCCGTTCAGCGGTAGAATGTTAGACAACCACGCCTCACATGGTTCGGCGTTCTGTCTTCAGTCGATGCACTTCTAAACCTCGTTTAGCTGGTAAAGAGAGACGGCTGGATTTGAGGCTAACAACTCCATAATGTAAAAAGTAAAACCACTGCTACTGGGGCTTCACAGCTCTAGCTTGAAACCCTTGGAACGTGACTTCGCTGGAAAAGAGGATGTTACAAAGAAAAGGAGTAAATATAGAAAGTTACATTGACGGGTCAGTATATTCATTATTTTTGAGTTTTGTGCCTTTGAAGTATACATCAAATTGAGTAAACTGTTTGCTTCATAGACATAGAGTAGTCTCCTCTAACAGCTGTTTAAATGAGGAACTCTAAGCCACTAAAGTATTACTCCGTAGAAATAGACATCCAGAAAAGTTTCCTAGTAAAAATGTGAATTTACCAATAACACCGATGAAGTCACAACAAAATGCCTAAAGAATTTGGTAAAAAGATAACTCAATGCAACACTTTTCCCACCCACTCAAATTTTACGTTCAGGAAATTAAAAATAAGCTACTTGGTTTCTCTTGTTTTATGTGTATTTACTAGTTTGACTAGTCGTACGACCATCTTCACATGAACAATTTCTCCCTATTCTTAAGGCATTCACAAGTTGTTATTATTATTATTATCATAACTATCTTATTACTCTATCTACTTCATCTGTAACTGTTTCTTATGTAATCGATTTGAAAACTCATTTACTCCTCTTATTTTTTTCCAAAGTTTAGGATTGTGTAAGCAGTTGTTTAATTTTTACAAATCTATGTACCTTTTGATTGTCATAATAATTTTCTTTGTAAATTATTACCCCCTAGAAATGTTAATAGAGATGGATTGGACTCACGCTGAAGAGGCCATCGAATGACATCGCATGCCAAGTCATCTTTCAAGTGGAACCTGAATGGGAAACGACGAGTTTAGCGTGTGTCCGAATACTACATGAAGGAGATCGTATGGGGAGGAGATGAGAGAGTATGAGCAATCGGGAGGTGGAGGCAACTAAAGACAACTGCCGAGAATAGGACAAAGTGGAGATGTGCTGTTGAAGCCTTATGTTTCACTCGGAACCCAAGGGATAAATAATAATAACAATGGATATTTTGATGCTAACTTAGTAATTTTTTATCGGCTCCTTATGTAATACATACTTTCGCTGTCTTCATATAGAGTTATATTTGTTTAACCCTAATGAGATATTTTTATTAAGATCGAAGTTTTCGACGGAAGTCAAAAATTGGCTGAAACTTGATGGTAACAAACTCATCTTGAAACCTGACGAAGTTGTGTTAGAATCCCCACTCCTGTAGTGGTAGTTGACACAGGACTAATACAATCACAATACTCCTCTAAGTGCTGTTAGTTTATAATGAAATCCAACCTGAAGTATTCACATCAATGATAATAGGATGATAATGCCTAAGAGCTGGAACAGGAAGACGAAACTTATCAAATGTTTCATTTTATAATTAGGCACTTACTCAATTCAATGTTGATTAGCATATTCCTTGATTAGTTTCTGTATTTTCTAATTTTAAGAGGAAGAAAAAACATTATTGACTACGAAAGAATGATATTCGCTTACTTGATTCCCAACTGATTCACTCAGTATCACGGCATCATGTCCTCTCTATAGAAAAAGATGAAACAACATAATGGTTATAGATTATGTGATGTGGATTAAATTAATTTCAAATATTTAGATTTCACCATTAAACACCATCAGTTAGCGTGATCGATGGAAGCCTGTGGATACTGGATAACTGTTTCGTCCTTTTTTCGGACTCTTCGGAGTTACACATCCACGATCCCACCAGGGGTCGAACGAAGGATCTGCAGTTTACGAGTTAATTGATAGTCTAAATATCAATCTAAAGCTAACTGATGGCTACTGGATGGATTCCCTGAAGCTGTAATGAAAAGTCCTGACCAGTGGGGTATGCTATATCAAGGTAATGTGAGTGCTTATAGAAGGTAGTGTGAAGGATAGCAGGCTCGATGCCTGGTGCAGTCGTGTGTGCACAATGATGAAGAGTCCTAAGATAGGACGAAACAGCTGTCCAGTGACCTCTGGTTTTCACTGACCTCTTTCACTGACGTTGGTTCCTGACGAAATCTAACAAGTGAAATCGAAATAATCGTATAACTGAACAATCTGTCTCCTTTAGCAATTATGTGTTTCGAAATACTTCAATGTATCTAAAGTTTACTAAGAATTACCGAAATTTATATCATTTGCGCTTTAATTCCTAAGAGTGATGTTTATTTAAGTGAGTTACTAAACAAGCAGTGAGAATAAAGCTATTTCAAATTATTCTACATACACAGTACCAAGCCAGAGTGAATAATGTATCCAACATAATGAATAGATGTACGGGGCATGAAAGCAATCGTTAGTCTAACCAAATTGACCATAATTAAGAATAGTAGATAGATAATACAGTTAAGGTATGTTGGCTATTGGTTGACTTACTTACTGTCCAACTCTCTTTTTCAAACTGTCAATAGATAACAGGAACTAAAACAACTTTGCTTTTTGTAAATCATTCCTGTGAGTATTCAGCGATGTAATCGATTGGAGAGTACTCTTCATATCAAAAAGCTATACAGTAGTAATAATCAATATCTCTTAATATGGCGCCTGAATTATTTGATTTTAAAGGAACAAATTATCTTCTTTTTGTTAAAAGTTAGCTTAAGTAGCTGACCAGAAGCAAGTTGGTTTGAACTGAATTGATTCTGTGAATTCGTGATCTCAGCATTAAAAGAGAGAAACGACTGGGATGCGATACGCGTTGAGGTGAGTGGTTTCCGACTACTGATAACGATCAGTACTATATGTCATCTTATTGGTGTGTTAACTGTCTTTTTAACTGTTGTTTTGTCTTAATAAGACTTTGCATGTTTTAGAGTTTTTACAGAACCAATGAAAAGCAGGAACGACTGGATAGCTATTTCGTCCTAATTTGGGACTATTAGGCAGTGCAGGCAGGTGAACTACTTAAGAGGTTAACCCTTCTATAAGCTGAGTAAATTCACCTTCCAGCCACTGAGATGGAATCTGATAACACGTGAATTCTAGCTTCTGTCAATTTGCGATTTAGCAATACAACTGATAAGCACTGGTTTCACACCCAACGTGATGGCTCCTACCTGCTACGACTCCACTACAGCTCCAGGATACCCATCCTACATGGGTCGTTGTTATGTGCTACTACATAGTTCCAAACTAGGACAAAATAGTTGTCCTGTGTTTCATGGATTCCAATTATCCTCTACCTGCTTTCGTTTCGGGAAGAAATCTACACTGAAGGTATTAGAAATCCTTGCAGAGTTTGAATAATAGTTTAATAAGTCCTGTATTTTTTTGCATTTGTGATTAGGTAGTAGAATGTTTACCAGCCACGCAGAACGTCCGGGTTCGATTCCCAGTCAACGGACACACTGGTAAATCTTGCTTACTTTACTAGGCGAAGGTAAGTCCGGAAGTGTGGGAAAATTGGGCCTAAGGCTAGTAACTTCACCTTGTAGAAATATGATCACCACAAGTGAAACTTCAGAGTTCAAGCTTTAAGCCCTATGTTCTTCTAGGGACGCATAAGAATGGGAAAAAAAATAGTCCTGTACTGTTTGTTACAATATGAAAGTTAAGTTTGTTTAGTCAGAATTCCAACAGAAGAAGCTGACCATTGATTGTCATCGTGTCGTCTTCATTTTTGTGTTATCTTGTTAATTAACCTTATTAGGTGATTAATTATCTTAATATGGAGGTTAAGAATGCTTTACTCTTGATATAAATATTGATTCACTGCTTACAGCTTCTTTTCGCCAATTTAAGTGATTGGATGTTGTCTTCAGGAGGTGCGAATAGCTCAACACTAACGTTTCTGACTACACTGCTGGTTCATGCAGGTCCTAATCTCCTAATAGGTATCATTACCCTGAAGGTAAACGTTCCTGACGAAAACCGGGTCTTCTAGCCGACCGTCTACAATTACGTGACATTGATTTAACCCTCTACGCGGTGATGAATCAACCAGCTTGTTGAACATATTGCAAATTCGACTTAAACTACAGACTAGACCTATAACAGTGATTATCGGTATTTTTTCCCAAGTGGTATGTTTCGTGGAGGTTGTACATCCACACACTGTTAACAGATATCATTTTTAAAACAGTAGACACTGATAGAACAGATTGCCCACTAATTTAGTAAGCATTAGGAATAACTATAATAATTTTCATTATTCCCTTAGGTTTCAACTGGAACATATAACTTTAGCAGTACATGTTCATTTCACCCACTCTAGCCTAGCTTCATGGCTGCTCATAACCTTTCATTTCCTTCATACGATGCATTCCATGTCACCTTCAGTACCATGTCGAACTCATCTTTCCTATTCGCGTGTCCGGCGCATGATGTCACTCACCAGTCTTCTCGAAGTGTGTCCAATTCATTTATATTTCCTTCTGCATATCTGTTCAGCAAGCGGATTTTGGTTGGTTCACAAATTGCCAGAGTTTTTTGTTGTCTATCTTTTATGGCTGGCCAGTCATCTGATCTTCATTATCAGGCGAAGGCAATCTGTTTGAAATGTGTTCCGTGACACGCCAAGTCTTTGAACTACATAGAATCCCTGACTTGCTTTTGTTCCTTATGTTATGTGCTGTATATCTCCACCCTTTTGGTCAACAGCACTCAGCATGAAAAATAAGATCCGGATTTTCAACTCCAATGTGAAGTCAGTGCTACTATACGGATGGATCAGAGACTTGGCCAGCGCGTCATAAAGAGCATCTCAAACAAACTACAGACCTTCATTAACAGTTGTCTTCGCTCAATACTCAAGATCAGATGGCCGGCGAGAAAAGATCAGCAACAGAGATCTCTGGCAATGAGCGAACCAACACAGCAGGAACCAATTGTGAAACAAATAGGCAGGAAGAAATGGAGATGGATTGGCTGGCCATACTCTGAGGAAACCATCAAGTGACATCACTAGACAAGCCATTGCTCGAGTGGAAGCCGAAAGGGAAGCGGCGAGTTGGTCGTCAGTGCGAGGGTGACTTGGAGGAGGTCATTTGAAGAGGAGATGAAAGCGTGTGGGCAGACTTGAAGCCAGGTGAAGACTCTAGCAGAGAACCAAACGCAGTGGAGACGCACGGCTGAAGCCCTATGTTCCTCTAGGAATTAAAGGAAACAGTAATAATAATAATCTCCACCCTTATTTCAAAGTAACGAACGCCTCTCTCACTTTGCTGATTTTGACTGGTTTTGACATCCTTATCGGTACCAGCTGCATTTAAAAAGGCTGCCTAGATCAGGTAATTGAAAGAGGTGATGTGTTTCTGATTCGTCCTATTAATGGTGACCAATAATGGTAATACGTCAGTTCAAATCTAAAATTACATCGAAGTGTCTCTGTTAGAAGTTGAGATGACAGTAGAGACTGATCACACCCTTTCACATTAAAATATGAACAATCGGGAAATTTAGAATCTCAGTAAATTATAATACTTTTGAGAAATAACAATAATAATATGTCAAAGATAAAAGTATTTAACACTTACATTTGTCTGCAAATTTATACTTGCATTATTCTGCAATAGTAATTGACATAAATCATAATGTCCAACCATAATACAATTATGCAATGGTGTTTTACCATCACAATCTTGTGCATCAATCTTTGCACCAAGTTTAATTAACTCTCTAGCCACTTCTACATTTCCATTATTTTTCAGAGCAGCTGTTGTACGCAGAGAGAAAAAAATCAAAGCCGAAAGAAAATGAGAACATAATTAAAATAAATGTCAATTAGTGGAGATAAAGTAATCTTTTGAAGGCTTCTTTTTTATTCTTTTGCCTTCCCAGTGGAAAGTAGGGCGTCAAACTTGATACTCTGAAGTTTCAGTAGTACTGGTTTTATTGCTTCATGCGCACTGGGGTTCGCTAGCCCTGTGCTCAGTCTTTGCTGCTTTTCTGGCTTACTATTGGCTAATGAAGTAAGCAAAGTTGAGAGGTGCTTGATCCCCGGATCATTCACGCGGGTGACCAGCAGTCTATTACTAGACCATTGACATAAACATACTGGATTTCGGGGTGGCTTTTTATTATATGATTGTTAAGAACACACTAAACAGTGACTTAAATTACGAAGTATCAGGAGTTAAATTTAAGTGATTTAGATGAAGATGCTAATCCTACTCACTATAGATGGTCAAATTAAGGTCTCTTCTAAGGGATTGTGTTAACCTGAATATATATAATTAAATTTATAGATAACAGGTTTCAAAAGCAATATGTTCCTAAACTATTTAAAACTAGTGATACGTACTGAAGAAAGAAAGAACGAACATATTTGCAAGATATTACGACCTTGTTTTATCTCGTGAATTCTCTTCAAGTGCATATATCCCAAACAAAATCAATTATCTGGTGGCCCAAGTGGTCTAGTGGATAACGCTTTGGTTTTTGAAACTATGGGCACTGGGTTCGATCCTCGGGGGGAACATCATCACTCACTGGAAAATACAGGTACATCCAGATGACGAGTTCCAAATAGCATGAAATGCGCATCCTGGATTCCACTGCTAGTCACCATCCATCAGTTAAAATCAGTAGTCAGTTATGAAATTTCTGAACATACTTTTTATGATGGCTTCGATTTATAGATTGAAAGTATGGGTAACACAATTCAAAAGAAGATGTAGGTAGACAAATAATTCAGTGTTAAAAGACTATTTATTTAATAGTTGGACAACAGGGGTAGAGTTTAGATTTCTCTTGGAAACAAGGATTTATTTTATTCCTTTACGTTCCCGGTGGAACATATATAGGCCTCAAGCTGGAGGCTTGAAGTTTCGGTAGCAGTGGTGCTTTATTTTTACGGGATGGGGTCGCTACCCTTGTGCCCAGCTTTCCATCTTTATCAATCTTATTACTGGCCTAGCCAGGTAAAGGAGTCCGTTGGCCGGCGATCGAACCGCGGACCATGTGAGGCGTTGTTGGCGAGCATTCTACCGCCATGCCACCGGAAACAAGGATGGACTAGAGAAAAAATACAAGAAATCAAAAAGGTGTAAACTGATACATATTATGATGGAGGGTTCAGGAGCGTGATAGTCATTAGTAAAGTAAAACTATAAGTTAGACAAAACAATTTAGTAGCTTCGGAATCTTGACAGTGAGTTCAGAACAAAACATAAAAGTACACGAACAAAACGGTTACGGTTACCAGGGTAGTGAATGGCTAGTCATGCTATCTTTCCGCCCACATAGGTTGGGTAGAAGTCTTTTGATAGCAATGGATTCTACGAATCGAAGTAATCATGGTTTTCTGTGTGTATTGAGTATTTTGAAAATCTGACTAATTTCCACTGTTTGCCACCTGTCAATCAGACGCCCAAAAGTTGCACTTGAGGACATTTTTCTGCCTCTTAAATGGAGAATTTTAGGGATATACTCAGAAAATCTAGTAGATGAGCTTCTCTCATTCGTTCCTGTGTACTTTCTACCACAGTTGCAGGTGAACTGGTAAATGCAGTAGGAGTTGACATAAGCAAGGTACTTATCTAATTTCGACTGAGTTAACGAGTATACCCTGAGATGAGTTCAGGGGCTAGAATTGTTCTTTTCAATGCAACCTTAATTTTTTTTTTCGTTTCTTGTGGATACTTCTTCCTTTCTGTACGCTGAAGAGATAAAAACTGGTTTCTTTTCAGCCATTTCGGGCTTCAGTGTAGGTGTTTTCTCACTCCCATATTTTGACATTATCTTTTGAGGGTATTCATTTTCGATAAGGTTCTTTTCGATATCTGCTAGTTCCTCTTCAACCTTATCTTTTGAAACTAATGCCCTAGCTCTGCTTAAGAGCTTTTTTCATCAGGCTCCGTTTCTAGCCAATTGGGCAAAAGCTATGATAATCCAATTATTGACCAGTTCAAGTTTCTTTCATATAGATTGATTTTTCAATCATCCCATAATTTTTTCTTTTTATTTTGTGGTCTAGAAAGTGGAACTGATTGACACGCTCATGGTCCTTTATAAATGCTATGTTAAAATGAATTGCATTTCGTTTTCAAACATCATGAATGCGTGATCCACTATGCATGATCTGTTATATACAGCAGTTAACAATTAGTAATTCAAGCAAAACAACTAACGTCAAAGTACAGTTAGGAATTTAAATAATCAGTAGTATCTCTATACAAAGAAGGAGCTCAAAAAACCCTATGGAGAATTTTTAACAATGCAGGAATAAAAGTGGCTGGCATTCTAACCTACCCACCCACCCCACAAGCTAAATTAGAAACAAGCTTTGTCGGTTAAAAGATCCTGCCATTGGGTGGGTGCGTACTGATGAAGAGCCCCAAACTAGGGCGAAGCAACTGTCCAGTACCCTTAGGTTTTCCAATGGTTCTCTAACTGATATTAGCTCATGATGAAATCCTGTAAGCAAAACAATTTGATTTATCGAATACCCTGGTGGAATGAATGTCAGATAAAATACACAGGTCAAACTAGTAGTAGAGTGGTGAGAGCTGGCTGCTAGCCAAAAATTGGTAGACAGTAATTTACGTCAATGTTTACGTCCCCAATATTGGTCGTGGGAAAAATAAGAACAAAGACTGATTCAACAACCAACCACAGCAGACTTTGCGTAGGCGTATACAGTTAGCATATAGATGATCCCAATAATAAGGTAAGAAATCTGGAGAACAGTTCAGCTATACCACTCACTACATGCAATTACATATAACCATACAATAGGATGAGATAAGATGACAGTTTTGAAATGTGATGTAACAGGGTGAAGAGAGAGAATGACAACGGAAGTATTATTTACCGAATCAACTGCAAATACGTGTAATAGGAAAGATTCAACCCCTGTTCACGCAGACATCTGGAAAATTCTACTAGCCCTAAGACGACAAACATGAAAGAACAAAGAAAACTATAAAACGAAAGTTTCGAAGTTGGGTGGTTATGATTGATATGATAATGAACAGTAATGAATTATGTTCTAAACTTTGTCATCCAGCAAATAATACAGATTAATGTGGAACACTTTCTATGTTACGTAACTGCTATCTAAAATTTGCAATTCTAATGACAAATCTTTGGCAATATCCCTTCTGTTACTAACATAATTTACTATATCTAAATTCCGTTACACAGCTTGAGAATGATGTCGCTGGAAAGAGTAACTCTTCGCTGAACCTCTTTTCTTTTATACAACATAAGATACAATCCAACGTCATTGTCGATCATCTGTCTTTACATCCTATATGATTGACTTCACAAATCACGATATCTTGGATAAAAAAAAGCTGTTGTGTGTTTTTAATGGCTTTCCTAACAGTGTATACTCTAAAAACTAACACAGTTTTCACAAAATCAATATTTGAATAAGGTATTATAATATTTAAAAACAAATATTAGATATACTCAGCCAGTACAACTTACAACAACGCAATAAAGGCGTCCATCCAAGATTATTATCCACCGCTTCTATATCTGCTGAAGAATTAACCAATAATCGGATAGCTTTCGGTTGCTCTCCATCTACAGCCATATGTAAGGCAGTTAAACCATTTTTATCCACATGAGTAACATCAGCTCCATATTCAAGAAGTAGTTCCATACATTCAGTATTTCCCTGTAAAGAATTAGGGAAAAAGTTATCCTCTATATGTTAGCATTTTTGTTGTATACCGGAATTCTGCGTATAAATATATTCTACCAAACAGCGAGTGAAAAACTGATGCCATGGGTGAGGGATAAACGTAAAATGAAAGTGTGTCACAACAGGATTCAAAATGGGGGTCTCCGAATTACTGGCTTCCAACCATTCCACTGTAGTTGTCCCTCGTAATACCCATTTGCTATGTTAATAAATATCACCCTAACAACCATTTATAATCACAATAGCCATCAAATAAGTCTTCTTCAATCTTCATGCATTTATTTCCCTTGGTGAATTGGAATAAAGCAAAAACAACAGTGGTTTGTGTAGAATATTATGGTACCATCATTTATTTCGTTGGCTTCTCATCAGCTGCGTACAGAAAAGTTTTAACTTACTTGCAAATTTTACATGTTGTCAGTCGACAAAAAGTTCCACAATAGGTGAACAGTGCTCAGAAAATTTCGCTTATATAGTTTTTACACGGGCAGTTCAAGTTTAAACAAAATAAATGTGTGCATACAATGGTAAAGGAGTTATTTAATAGAGAAAAAATATGCCTTAGATACAGAATGACTAATAAATTAGGCAACAATGTACTGAGTTCATCTCAAATCATAGAAACAAGAGACAAGCAAAATTACAGATTGTAAAAGGGGGTGGCGTTAAAGACAAAGATTACGCAATCAGATGAGAGAATAAAGAAATTCAGTTACCAGGGCAAAGAAAGACTAATAACTGCTTCTTTTTGAACACATAAATCTGGTTTCAAGCGTTTGATAGAAATTGCTTCGGCAAACTTGAGGAGAATGGAACTCCTTTGTCTATTGATAATTTTACAGGATTTCTCGATTTCTACCTCATGACCCGTGTCAAGATGTCTGGTAGTAGCGCTATTATAAGAGTCTGTTCTCTTGAGACGTAGGCTTTTCGGCACATGTTCAGAAAATCGGAGGTGTGCCCTTCTTTCTATTCTCCCAATGTAACTGCTCCCGCAGATACACGTAAATTTGTATACACAGTTGGAGTTAACATGAGAAGGGTATCTATCGACTTTTGACTGCACCAAAGAGCATGTTGTTCAAGGGACGGGAACCAACTTAGCTGCAGGATAGGCTCTGGGTAGTGATGTTCTAAGTCTTCTGTTGACCATTTCTGCAATGTTTTCACCTTTAAAATCTAGTTGAATGAAGACAGGCTTTTTTTAACTGCGATTTGTTTGGTATTTGAGCCTTCACATCTTCCATATTTGTTAATGAATCTTTGAGGATAACCGTTGTTTTTCAGCACCTTTTCGAGAATCGTAAATTCTTCCTCCAGTTTCTCTACAGAGCATATTCTCTTCGCTCTATAGTACAGAGTCTTGACTAGTGCTCGTTTATAGCTATTTGAACAAAAACTATTAAAATGTAAGTATTGTCCATTCCAAGTAGGCTTCCGGTAAACTGACCTCTGGAGATAATAATAATAATAATAATAATGGCTTTATTCCAAACAGTATTTGTGGTACAGGTATGGAATTTTCAGCGTTCATTACAATATTGCATCTAATTACCTCATAAATTTTATAAGGATTTAGAAATATAAAGCAACAACAACAAAAAGAAAAAGAGAAATAAAAGAAATAAAATAAAAAAGAACAGCATTACATTCACATATTTAAACAGTGCACCACAGGATACGATATATAAAATTAGTCTGTAATAGAATATATGAGCAGCAATATAATAGTAACAAAGAAAGGAGAACAAAAGCTAATGGGAACTATTTGTTAGAGTGCCGCAGTAAATTGATCATGTCATGCCTAACAGTTTTCTCATCACATAACAGCTGTGCCAGATAAGGTATTGTGGAGTTTTTATACTTGGTAGTCCTGGCATATAGCTTCCTATAGTTACTTCTAGTTCTACCAGATGATATGCAAGGAGAGAGCTGTGTATAGAGAGGATGCTCAGGGTCTGACAATATAGTATTCGCTAGTTTCTTACATGACATTATATGTCTATCCACTATGGTGTTAACCAGTTGGTTTAACGATATCCCACTTGCCCTACTAACAGCTTTTAGTGCCCTACGCAGCGAAGCAAAGTCTTTCTTAAGTAGTCCTGGAAAGATTAATGGGGAGCAGTAAAGAGGGATGGGTAGAATACAGGAATTGACAAACTGAGAAAGTAAAGACTGCTTTATACCAGACTGCCTAAACTTCCTAAGGTAGAACGTTAAGCGAAACATCTTTCTAGTCACTAGCAAGATGTGAGAGGACCAGGAAAGATCGGAGGAAATACTCAGTCCAAGGTACTTGACATCTGATGTAGTTTCAACCTCTATGCCGTCTATGATAGTGGGACCATGTGAGCTAGCTAGTTGTTGAAGGTCACTTTTTCGTCTGAAAGTAAAATTCACTACCTGACATTTAGACGGATTCAGCTTAAGACCGTTTGAAGAGGACCACTGACTAATTTCCGAGAGAAAGTTATTTAATATGGAACAGTCTGACTGAGAGTTGACAGGCATGGAGACAGAGAGGTCATCAGCATACTTGACAAAAGTGGCTACATCAGAATGGGGCAAGTCATGTAAGAAAAAAGAAAACAGAAAAGGAGAAAGAACGGCACCTTGAGGAACACCAGCTGAAGTAAGTGAGGTAGAGGAGGACTTTCCATTGTAGACAGTGTACTGCTTCCTATCAGAAAAGTAGGAATACAACCACTTATTTATCCAGCTCTCACTCTGTGTTGCAGCAAGCTTACTTAACAAGAGAGACCTAGGTACAGAGTCAAATGCAGATGTGTAATCAAGATAACCATCTTCTAGGCGTTGCATGGCGATGTCAAGGAAATGGAACTTTCCATCAATCAGTCAGAGTCACAGTGAATTTGAAGGAATGGAAAAGGCTGCTAACTGATAATGAAACTATCTGGAATAGTCGAAGATCAGTAAGATTGTTACCGGTGTGACAGATGACGAATGTTTGTGAGATGTAAATCTTAATTTGAACTAGACGCCTCTGAATTGCAAGATTAAGACTCAGCAAGCAGATCTACTAGCACTAGATGCTTACTAATTCATTATTAGGTAACAAATACGGGTATAATATATCCGAGGTATTTGCTATGCGTTTCACATACTTTAAAGTGACCAGTTCATAGAGTTTATATAGATTAAGGGGAGTATGTACATTCAAACTGATGGATGCAGCACACTTATTATTATTTGGAAACCTGAATTCCCCATTTTTCTTTTTAACCAAGTATTCTTGATTACTGCATTTGTAATAAATGTGGATCTTATAGTTCCTAAGATAAAGATTATCGTCAATTAGTTGAATAAAAAATATTCAAAACTTCATTAAATAAGAAGTATATGCAGTTTTATGAAGCAGAGACCAGTTATACAAGAGGGTTTACTTACTAGAAAGATGGTATATACTACTGACAATTGACACAAGCCTTAGGAAATCAATTTGAGATGATCGAAACACGGGAGAGATATTTCGCTCATTTTTATTCGAGTTTGTCAATATTTTACCTGGTTAGACTCTTCTAAGAGGGATGAATCAGTTTAGACCACCTGAATTTCAAGACACTTTGATATGTTCGCTGAGTAATCTATAGTTTTCAAGGGCAGAATATGTCTTAGACCCAACTGTATAGTGGAAGTATGATAGCCCTAATCTAGCAGATAGTTATGGAATGACGAGCCATAAACTTCACTTTCTTAATTGGCATCTTTCTAAAGAGTGTGATCTACTGAGCAGATATAAAGAAGTCATGACCATTCATTTTCAGAAAGGTGCATTGTAGAGTCGGTTGGAATATGCGTTCATCCAGAAAGAATGCAGTGGTATACACCTCATTAGCCGATTAGAAATCCGAAGAAACTTGAAAAGTTTCGAGTAGTTTTTGACTGTACATCTGGGTTCAGTGGTACATCTTTGAGCTGTCGATTATAAGAGGTATAGAATGCTTTCAGTAGTTTAGTTGGGATGGTTTTACGCTTTTGAGTTGGTGTTATAGCGCTTGTTGCTGGCATAGGAGAAATATTTAAATAAGTGAAAATTCCAAAACAACGTAGGGGAGCATTTCGTCTATTATGGTGGAGGAATTGTGACATAACCCAGAGGACTTCTGAGTAATGAATTAATTGATCATTCACTCGGTGGCATCTCATCTCGTTGATGTGCAAATTATGCCTCAAAAAGGACTGTTGAAACCTTTGGTAGTAAAAGATCACGTATATTGTTTCTATGCGCATAAATACTTAACACCAATGAGTAACCTTAAACGGGCTATTTCCTTATTTGGACGGGTAAAGTTTATTCTTGCGACAGTTGAGATGGGTCCGCAACTCCATGCAAGCAGTAGAGTCTATACCACCAGGAGAACTTCCATCAACAGTGAGAGAAATAGACTTTGAAAAACATGCTATCGAACGCACGTTAGGTTTGTCATAGGACACAAAGGAATAATCTTTTGTTTATAAAATTCACACGCTTGATAAGCGCGTAATCGACCGTAGAATTTTATGGATGGCAGCCTCAATGTATGAACCTTTAGGCTTCCTGGCATCTATAGCTTTAATCGCTAAGAAAATACTACAAAGGTTGTGCAAATTGGGCTTTCATGAAATGAAACACGTTTATAATGAAGATAAGATTAAGGGATGAAAAGAAAGGGGTTGAAAATATAAACAAAGGGTGGTGTAGAAGTGATTAGTTGCCTATGTCTTAATAGGCCAAGGGAGGGATAATGGCTGTACGAACTTTTTTTGAATACATAGTTTAGTTTTATTAGTTCGAATGCCTATCGCCTCAGCTGTGTGCAGTAAACGAATACGAAGTCTATTGGAAAGATTCGGTGGGATACGATGAATTACTTTGAAGGCTCTCGTTTTCTCGATTACATGACCACTATCAATTAAGTGTGGTAAAATTGAGCTACGAATTGTTTTTGTCTGTCCTTTGCCAAACCACGATGGGATATGTTCACTAACACGTTGGCTAAGCTGTCTAGTAGTACGCCCAATATAACTGTCACCGCAGGTGCAGTTGAATTGATAAATGCACATAAATGTGGCAAAACTATCAAGCTTATCCTTCGTTTGCGTCCCGATCATTCGTCGGGTAGAGAATGACAAACATAGATGTGCTGCATAAAATGTTCTTAATCTTAATCTTATCTTTATAAAAAACGTATCTCATTTACTTCTCTTTCAATCTAGCACTACTTAATCGGTTCATTTGTTTTTACTAGCCTTTATCGACTACTTCCACCTGAACAGTTGTTTGTTTAATCATACTGTTTTTTTCATTATTCGTGTTATCACAGATTGCCTCACTTTTTTCATCCTTATTATTGATAAGACCATTTCTATTATTACTATAATTATTATTATCATTACTACTATTATGACTAATTGCGCAATTTATATTCACCATCGTATTATCCTATAGACAAAACACCATGATTGGTTTATACTTGAATTTTTATTTGTAAACTTATATATATTAGAGTTAAGCCTGATGAGATCTAATTGAAAACAATATTGTTCGCTTAAATGTGTTGTTCTAAATTTTACTATGGGAATATTTAGTAGATTTATCAAAGCACTACTAAACCAGAATTTACAAAATCTCATCTTATATATAACGAATTTAATTATAGCTCATCAGAGTGAGGTAATTTTCATGTTTTCAGGTTGGCCAATTGATAAAGATGGCAAAACCAGTTGTAGATTGTTTGATTTGATAAGTGTATAAAATTATAAAAGCAGCATGTGTTTACATAAATAAATTGCTTGTCACATTCGTGTTGATTCGTGTTGTCATTTCATGGGGGAAGGGGTGTTAAAACCAGGTCAAATTCTGGTTTAGTCCATCATGCCTATTCAGGCAAGTCGGATTCCATTTGATATGAAGAGCTTCTGATGATGTGAGACGTTCTTTGTTAATTCAGAAATTCTCCTGGATTATTTCAATATTATCAAAATCAATTTTGTGACCTGATTCTATAGCGTGTAAACCTATGACTGGTGATTTTTCAAGCTTTTCTAATTCAACTGAATTTCTCAGTGGTCGAACAGATGCTCGACGGTGTTTATTTCTTCACATCTTCATTTCTCGCGACATTTGTCTGATGTATATCGCATCACATTCCAAGCATTTTATTTTATAGGCACAATTCGATTGAGAATCTTTCGGAATTCGATCTTTTACATGGAAAAGGTTGCTTTGTAGTGTCTAAATTTTTTAAAGAAAACTCTGATATGCCTATTGAGTACTCTTTTATTGTCGTTGGACGTTTCCGATCTATGTGGAATGACAATAATTGAGGTCCATGTTCTCGAAATAAGTTTTCGACCATTATTTAATATTAGTATTGATCTTAATACTGAAGTTCTTTGGGTAGCTGTTTTCCTTGAGAATTTCAGTAATGTTTGATATTTCTTCTTCTTTTTCGTTCTCACCTGATTTCAAAGAGTGTGCTCGTCTAAGAATACTTGAAGCAACTAATAGCTTTGCGCTGATGAGGTGTGATGATCTGAAGTCTAAATACTTGTTAGGGTGGGCTTTCTTCCTGAATATAGGTATATTAGAATATCCATTTCCCCTCCTGCTAACTAGACAGTCAACAAATAGTAGTTCACCAAAGTCTGGTTCTGCTTCAGAAGCAAACTGGATGTCATTACTTTCAGTGGAAAGGAGACCTAGATCATGGTGACCGTCTCTTTAGAATCTAAGAGAAAGTGGAATGGAATAAATATTCCTCACTTCAGGGCAGATTTCGTAACGAGCCGACAATTGTCAAATACCTGTTGAAAACTCGCAGATAGTGGATAGTCGTTTCTCCCTAGTTTGGCACACACATTTCCCCACCAGGCATCGAACCCAAGAACTTCAAATGAGATAAACAGCAAGTTACCATTCAGCTTCCCGGTGTGTAACGCTAAAATGGCACAAACTAGGCTGAAACAGCCGTTCAGTTTTCAATGGCTTTGTTAGTGATATTGATTCATGATAAGGTTTACCTAGAAGTCAACCAAATCGCTACATATCAACAGTTGACAGATACCCTTCTCTCTGTATAGGTTATAATTTCAATAGATTCGCTTCTTTGTACTGTATAAAATCCATGGCTTATAGTAAAAGAATATTCCGGAAATGCTTAGTGACAAAGAAAACATAATTATTTGTGTATAAAGTTTTAGAGCCTTCAGATTAGTATAGAGTCATTTATTAAATAAACAATAAGGTGATGTTTAGTTTTCCCTCCTTATTTTCAAGTTTTTATTTTCTTTGTTCTAATGTGTAGTGGGATCTATTGTTGTTGCTGCTGTTGTTGTTAGTTTACAAATTATAATTAATGATGGTCATAGAAACAAAGAGATTTTATTGTTTTGATAAGGAAAAGGAAGTGGTTTGAAATTATTGCCTTTGGTAACAAGTACACTTTTAATTAATGAAGGATTTTCTCATCGTTAGTGTGGTTAATCACTAAGAGTGCATACTACTGATTCATATGAGTAGTTGGGAATGGGTGACATCAAACAGTAGGGGTTGATAGCCAGATCAAATTGAATTAAACACCAGGTAGTTAGTTGTGTTGGTCGTTTTTGAGGTTGAGCTGATCATCGGTGTGTGTCCGGTCCAAACCACCTGAATTATCATCAGTAATTTGAGTGAACTATTAATGGATAAAATTGGGCATAAATGACTGAAACTGCTGAAAGGGACCTGGATAAGCTGTTCCTTAGAATTTCAGCTACGTTGGTATCACCTTTAAATACAACATTAATAAACCTGGAATGTCTTAGCCACCTTTTGAGTTTTCGTAGGTTTCTGATTTACTTTCACGTCTTTTTCGATAAAGCTTGTAGGATATCAAGAATAAGAAGGATATACACCGGTGATACAGTCGATTATAAAGTGGAGAGGCTCAGACAAATTCTCGTTGAAAATAGATTTTCTAAAAGATTCAGGGAAAATTAACATAAAAGTAAATCAGAAGTCTGAAAGAAACCAAACAATGCCGCTTGATACTATAAATAACAACCAAGAAGGGACATGAGTTCCTTCAAGGTTGCAGATACTCCTTGCTGTTGAGTGCCAGCTAGCACGAGACCTATGTCCAAGGCTTCCTGCCGATTGCCTCCAGCTATCTAATAGCAATCAAGAAACTGAGCATAAATGCATAAAACTATATACACTACTGAATGACTGAGATGGGTAGCTGCATGGCATTCACGTCAAACAATGGTGCCTGCTAGCCAGATAAATAGAAGTGATATAAACACCACCAGACGGCCTTTTCACTCGCTGAGGACCAGATTATCACCAGCGTACCTGGTTTCAACTCATCTCAGAGAATAGCTTCAGTTCAACTCCCCCCCCCCTAATCTGATTTATAGTCATCAATTTGCCCAGGTAGCTAGCCAGAAGTCGGGTGGTTTGAAATGATTTGGCTATGATTAGCTGATAATGAGCTCAGCCCATGACCGGTGGGACAGCCACCCGATGTTGTTCTCATTCATCAAAGTATATTTTTAAAATACAGTGACTAACCTTGAATGAGGCAAACATAAGTGCAGTTTTCCCTGTACTAGTTTCTGTCTCTGTATTCGCATTGGCTTCCAGTAAAATAGACATCATACTGAAAAAAAATAAGATTGAACAACCTATCTTTGATGGGTAAAATCTTTACATTATTTAAAAGACAATTTATTTCATTTTAGATAAGTAATTTAAAAATTTTTAACAGGTGTTATCAAACATATTAAACACTTCAGTATCAGTATCAGATAAGAAGTCTCAGAATAAATCCTTATGACACATACTATTAACTGTTAGTGTCTTCAAGTTCTAAGCTGCATTCTAACGCTGAAGAGTGAAAAGTCTACAAAAACGCGTCATTTCAGTAACGTTTCAATTCTGTTGATCTTCCTGCTTCCCTCTTCCCCTATCTGTCACTACACTTAACATCAAGAGAGTCGTTTTCAGTGTAGTTTCATTACTTTTCTTGGTTTTTATTGATGCTTCATCCCCTTTCGACACAAGAGATGTGAAAAATGGCTTCTTTCCTAAAGTTGCAGGTGTGTGTTTCACCATCTCTTATTTTCTGTACTTCAAGATAAAGTTCCTTGTCCATGGGACTTTTTTCAACGACGATGAATTCCTTTTCAACGTTATTATCTGCCAAAAAACATTCATACTTTACTAAAACCTTTCTGATCAAATTTCGTATGCACAAAAAGAGTCAGCTAAAGCTATGACAGTCTATTTCTCTTTTCTACTTATGGTTTTCACAATTATTCCATTAGTTCTTCATCGTATTTTGTTACAATCCTGGTATTTGAACTACTCATCACATCCATGATCCAATTTAAACCTGATATGAAGTTGATTTTCATCAACTTTTTCATATATCTGAAATGATTAGTTGGAGGATTTCATCATGAGCTGACATCAGTTAGAGAACCATTGGAAAACCGCCTGGGAGTACTGGCCTGATGATGTCCTAGTCTGGGTTTTTTCAGCAGTACGCACCCACCACCAGGGTTCTAACCCAGGACCTTCTGGTTACAAACCGAGCTCGCAGACCATTTAGCCACTGGTACCCGATCCAGTGGCCCATGAATTCCAGCTCCTGATAATTAATCAAACAAAAGAATCCCTACAAAAACCAATACTTGAAAATATCTGCAGTGAATAATCCATATTACCATAGAAACACAAACATCTCCCTAGTATATTCATAGGTTTTCCCACTGTTTTAAATTTCAGTTGTGTTCGTTTTTAAGATGCGGCATAGAGATTCCAGCAGGAATGAAAGCTAAACGGTAAATTTACAGTTACCTTAAGTAACAAATGAGGTATATTAAATTCCGACCTCCTTAAAACATGAAACTAGTTAGAACTCAGTTAGCCTGTTGATGATACTACTCAGTTGCTGAGGCTGAAGTTAGTGAAACGGGACTCGAACACATGACCTACTGTCTGAAAGTCAAATGATTAAGCCAATAAGGTATATCTCCCCTTCTTGAAACTATAAAGTAAAAGAATGACCTTGAGACAGACAACTAGAATAAATCAATCTAATTGAGGCGAAAAGCAGAAGTTTAAATTGGGTATCAGAATTTTAAATTTTTTCTAAAATCTCTAAATATCTAACAGCTGTGTCAGCGTTAATCTAAATAACTACCATTTAGGATTAGATTATGGTAGATTTAAGGTTGTATTAAATTTATATTTCAAAATTATTGATTAGAGTTAAGTTTAAGGAAATTTTCCGAATGAAATCTTTCCCTGAACAGCTCTGGTCATTCGGGTACCCATTAGCTTGGATCATTATTCTTTATATTCAGCAATTATTTAATACCTAAATATGTTATCTAAGCGTTGGTGGCTTAGAAGTAGAATGCTCACCAATATCACATATGGTCCAGAGTTCGACTCCCAGTCGGCGCACTCCTTTACCTCGCTAAGTCCGTAATAAGACCGCTGCAGAAGGAAGGTTGGGCATGGGACTATCAACCCCTCCCCTCCGTTAAAATAATGAACCCACTGCTATCAAAACTTCACAGCTCTAGCTTGAAGCCCTGTTTTCCACTGCGAACGTAAAGGAATAAAATAACAGAATATTCATGTTAAGTTACTCATTGGAATGACGGTGAAATATTATTTACAGTTTGTATAATTGACTAGTTGAAAAAGACTTACTCGGGTAGATTGCGTTGTGCACAGTACATTAAAGGCGTAAATCCCAGATTATCCGGTGCTTCAATGCATCCTTGCCTGAAAGAAAAGAAATAGATCATCTCAGGAAAATATGTAACTTTTAAAACAATTGTATTTAGTTTTCTCAAGTTTCCCTTTGTACTGATCTGATCGGTCTGAAGTTAAATCATGAGTTGATATCAGTTAGAGAACCACTGGAAACCATGGAGTACCAGAGAGCTGTTTTATCCTGGCATTATGTATCCATGACTCCATCGCTAGGGATCTAACTTAGGACTTCTAGGTAACGATACTATTCCGTCACTGTTACAGAATACTAAGCTCACGAATTATAACCAGTATTTGAATATAGAATAAAGTTGCCTGGAGTTCCAGTGAGAAGTTGTAGCCAGTGAGGCTGAGGTATTGTAATAACCAAAACTCAAGTATTTTGGTCTGAAAAAGGGGTAACCACTCGATACTCTATTCTGTTTAGCATGCCTAACCTTTGTGAGTCATACACAGTTCAGATTTATTCCATTAATGTCAAAAAGACATTTCGAGTGGTTGAATCCATCAGAATCTTGTGGGTATTGGCTTCATGGCTTTTTTTCTTGGAGATGTGCGTGACAAGTCAAAGATTAGGCTGCCAAGACTTCATCGATCCACTGCTTTCCTGCGACTTCCACGATGAATTGCCTCAGGAGATATGTACTCAAGTGTCTCGCAAAAAGTGCTAGCAGTATACATGCCGTCCTTAGATAGTCCAAAATTAGTAAGCTTTACATGTCCCTGATGTTTCAGTAGCACATTATTAGATTCGAGATCCTTGTATATTATACCAAAAGAATGCAAATGCCCGACAGCAAGGACCTTTTGAAAGCATAGAATCATGTAGCGTTTTTCTGCAAGGCCTCTTCGTGTTTCAGATAGCTAAGAAGTTGTCCTTAATGACAATAATTAAGCACAGTGTATAGATTTGAATGGTTTTGAAGCGTAAAGTGAAGTTTCACCAGGAATGGGTGTTTTAACATCCCTAGGATGTTCCTTTCAGTAACGATGTGAGCTTTATCTTCTTGAATGCATGCAAGTGTGGCATTTTCCTAGACTTTCCTAGCGTATAGTTGCTTTTTGTCAACACCATCTTTTTTCTGAACCAGAAAAAACTTTCTGTAACTTTATTCGCCAATCAAACGTTTTGTGCTGAATTTCTCAGAATTAACACGATTGTTTGGACTGACAGTTTTCTAACAAATCTCAGCAGCCTCCCGTTTGTTGTTTTCCTGTTTTAAATAAGGATACTTTGTATCCTTCTTCGGCTGATCCGAAGACGAAGAAATTTTTTGTTCAAAAAGAGTAAGTTAATACTGTCTGCTTCTTCATCATGGTGAAACTCCGTAGACAAGAGGGTTGACCTCTACCGTACTCTTTTGGTAAGGGAAACTGATAAACAGGTGAGTAAAGTTATTTTTGTTCTCTTCATCACAGATCTCTCTTTTGTCACTTACTCTTAAGCCAATTAAATGATTAGTGACCATATTTGTACAAGAAAGAGAAGAGCTGTGTTTAACTTCAGTCTGTCTTCAAGTGAAAGGCTGGCTATCCCAGATGGTCCTGTCATTAGTTGCATTTCATTCTCAAAATTTCAGTATTATTACTTTGTTACAATCTGGTATTACTCAGTCTGTACTTTTACAGTTTGTTAGCTCTCGCATTCTATCTACCCTCTTTTGATGTTCATCCTAAAACTTTCCTTGGTTACATAAAAAAAGTTTTTTTAAGTTGTGAAGGTTACTAAAATCAATCGGTAGGCAAAGTGGTGTAACTCTAAGCAAACTCTTTGGTATTGTTGTTTACAAACATTTGAATTCACGCACGAAATTATCGAAAATTATCTTGTTGGACTCTCCGAACCCTTTTCATTTACAAATATTTCTTTGCATCTCCTCAGGTAGGACCAGAAACAATTAAAAAGGACTTTGTGCTCAACCGAATAAATATAAAAACTCAACTATACCTTATTTGGCACCAGTCTAATGTGATAGAAAAAGGGTTAAGCATGAAAGTACTAACTAAATGCAGAATGGCAAATAAACCGCCCTTCTTTTCGTTAATATATCGTTATCACTGCTCTTATTAATTTATGATTTATTTTTATGTTTATACAGTATCGCCATTATTACTATTAGTAGTATAAATATCATAAAAGTTCTGTAATTATTTTCCCCCGTTACTGTATATCATGAGGAGAACTTTAGATACAGTATTGAAATAAATACTGAGGATTCCACGGTGTATCAAAATTACTGTTTGGAATGAAGCCATTATCATCATCGTCATCATCATTAATTTTAAAGACCGCGCCAAAACTAAAATTGAAGTGGTAATGCATATCGGGACAGGAAGAATAATTGATTTTATTTCAAAAATATCATTCATTTATTCGCTAATCTATACTCCAATAAATGAAGTATACTTGTGTCGGTGAAAGCAAAGTTGATGGAGATAGATGAGTCGTCTAGAAAAATCTAAGTATTTGATGTTTATGAGAGTGAAACACACACACACACACAGTGTTCCTCATCAGATCCCCAATTAAATTTTATGGAGGAATAGTCAAAAAACCACTTAAGTTTGCTTAAGTTCAGTAATAAAAATAGCTAAAACTCTTATTTAAGATACAAAAACCTTAGTGGACTCTACGAAGCGTTCCATATGAATTCGTTTATTTGATATATCACACAGTGAAAAAGGATTATTTATCATGTTTCGAATCCATACTTACAGACCAACACTTAGATTTCGGTTCCTTCTACCTTATGTCAGCAAAAATAGGACTGGTGAAATGCTTAAGTAATTGGGCAAAAAAACTAAGTAGTACCGAAGGAAATTTAAAACAGGAATTAAGAAATATAAAGGAAGGTTAGAGACTTAATAACTACCCTGAAAAATTAATCAGAAAGTATGTATGAAAATGTAAAGGTAAAACTAATAGTAACAGTAGTGATAGTGGTAACAATAATAATATTAATGACAACATACATGTCAAACATGCACAGAATGACAACGCCAGAAATAGGGAATTTAAGTCCTCAGTAGTATTTCCATACAAAGGAGGAACCACAGAAACTTTACGGAGAATCCTTAACAATGCAGGAATAAAAGTGGTTGGCATTCAAAAAACCACCCAAAAACTCAATTAGAAACAAGCTTAGTCGGTTAAAGGACCAATCCTGTGGAACCAATTAAACAAAACAATTTAGTTTGTCTAATACCCTGCTGGAATGATTGTCAGATCAAATACACAGGTCAAACTAGTAGTAGGACGGGGTCAGTCAGTCAGACAGACTAGCAGAGCACAAAAACCTAGCAGCAAAATTTAGATGGGTCTACCCTAATAGGATAAGAAATGTGGAGAGTAGTTCAGCTATACCACTCACCACATGCAACTACATACAACCATACAATAGGATGGGATAAGATCAGAGCTTTGAAATCTAACGTAACAGGGCGGACGGAAAGGCCGATAATGGAAGCTTTATTTATCGGATCAACTGAGGAGAATATGTGTAATAAGAATGATTCAGCATCTGTCCACCCAGAAATGTGGAAAATTCCACAACCCCGAAGACGACAAATAGGAAAGGATAAAGAAAACTATAAAACGAAAGTTTCAAAGTGGTGTGATTTTAACTGATATGATTATGAAAGGTAATGTATTGTCATCCAGTAATTATTACCTTTTCACTGTGTGATATATCAAATAAACAAAAAACATAGATTTACATACCTTAACAATATCAAAGTTTTGCACAATATATAGATTTGTACGATGTGTCAACCAGGTGATCAATTTTTTTCCATGTCAAACTAAAATTTTAGTCGAAATTCAGGTGGTTTGAACTGATCTGGTCATCTGGGGTGAGTCATTGATAAACTCAATGCCACCTGAACAAAACGGCCATCCAGTATTTAGGGCAGTCACTACCGGTTGATGTGAGTGTTACTTATCAATCAATCAGTAGTATATACCGTCATATTTGGATAAAAGTCTAACAACTAAAGGATAAATTACATTCTCTATCTACAGAAGAGCAAATAACATGATTTCTGACTTGTCTTTTAATGCAATTTCAAGTATATCGTAGTCATATGAATACAAACTGCGTATATCAGAAGTATCTTATCTCAGTTCCTTTTATTTATTAGACATAGTGCAATAGATTCTATCAGAAGACAATAATAAATAAGCTGTCGTAAAATGTCCGTTTCATGAATAAATACTGACAGTTATTTACATCATAAATCACTTACTCTTTTTCCAGCAACTCTCGTAACTGAATTGCATTATTTTGTTTCAATGCAGTGTGTATATCATGCCCAGTTACAGGTAGTTCTAATCGTTAGAAATAAAAATGGTATATATATATGATCAAACTGAAATTATAATAATTTACTCTGCGTTTGTACTTGTACTGTATCACTCCAATTTTCATATTGTTTTAAATTTTTAAAACGAATTTTAAAACAATACGAGGTTTCTGGATCTAAATTCTTACAGATACACTGATGATCATAACCACTAAAAAAATGGCATAAAAGAAGAAACAAGAAGTTTTCATTTCATCTAAAAAACATGGTGAAAGTTACATATATGCATTTTCCCATTCATCGGATGAATCCTTTTTTAAAATGACTTCAGCTAATAGATTCAGCTTCTTGGGTTGTTGTTTCATTTTTTCATGAATTCTGTTCACTTCTTCTTCCCAATCAAGTTCTACACTCATATAGGTTACTTCAGTGATATTTGGTGGAGAAGGTTTTCCTGAACTTTTATCCTCTATAGGATTCCTAGTATTCATATCGACAGTTCAATCAGTGAAGCAGTGACACACACACGTCTTTCTAAACAAAACAAAAAACAGAAATACTAATTAAGTATCTGTCAAACATTAGTGTAAATACTAAGATTATCAATATCTATTCAGTCTGAATAACCATTAGTACTTGTTTATTCATATTTATGGACCAACGTATTAAAAATAATAGCATATATATGAGATAACTGAGAATACTCAGACTTAAGGTCATGTAGGGATTTTCAACCGAGAATCAGAGAGAACTAAGGGGCACTGGATAGCCGTTTCGTCTTAGCCCAGGAATCCTCAACAGCTTACATACATAATCCCACCAGGGATTGAAATCAGCAGTAGATTTTTTGTTTCTCACAAACTGAATATGTGAAATCTAAGTTTTTACATGTTACACATGAACACATGCGTAAATTAGCTTTCTCTGAAGAATAAAAGAACAAACCAAAGGTTGTAGTTTGAAAAATCTCAATAAATTTGCATTAAAAAACTATATCAGAAGGCTATCTGAAATGATAGTGATTATAAAGGGTTGAAAGTAACATACTCCAAATGTTGAGTCAGTAGTAGTGGAGAGAGAGAGTAAATTAGGGAGTTTAAAGCGTAAACACCATAACTTCTAACTTGACTCACCACCAGTTTGTATACAGCGAGAAATAGAAATCTAGGGGACTGAATATTATAAATGATAGATTTATCAGAAAACGTAAACAAACACTCATGATATAACTCTTCCTGTTGTAAGTTGTGGCTCTACTTTCAAATACTGTAGTAGTAATAAAAGTTCTTTGGTATGGAATAAAGAGTTAGTGACTTCACACCTTAGCTACCTTATTAATTCAAGTGTAATTCATCGGAATCAAATTAGACGCGTAAAGTCTCCTTTCCTTTAAGTTATTGTGTGCATTTCTATCAGTTGTCCATTGAATATATGTGCCCAATCAGAGAAAAGCATTTTAGTTAGTGCCTAATTAAGGCAATATATGCAATGTACGCAGATGGGATAGTGTGACAATCACTGAGACAGTATACTGTTTATAGATCTCCATGTAAAAGACGATTTTCAGCAAAGATAAACGTCTGAGTGAAGCGATAACGATTGGTGGAGCAGGCGAGAATTGATTCGTTTTATTTTGTCACTATTATTATCGATTACTAAAAGCGTGAATAATGAAAGTACATAGCTTTATTATAATTTTAATATGCTTTAATTTTTTGGAAAAACAAGTTGCTGGACGATTGTCAGTAACAGTCATAGTTTATAAATGAGTCACAATATTAAGCTAGCAAAGTTATCTCGCTCAGTTTCTTGTTTTTGCCTTGTTCAAATTCATTTAAGAGAAATTCGTGTATGTAAAGAGAATTGTATTTGACTATTTCAATCAGAATATTGTACTGTCCATATTAAACACTTTGCAAGAATGTTCTCATGCTCATAGTTTTTATTATTCAAGAATCGAAGGAGTAAATGACATTTTTTCTGATCAGAAGTGATCGTAATACACGGATAGTTTCATTTCATAAACCTTTAATCGTCAAATATACACAGCATTTATTACAGCCTACGTTAAATATTGTAAAAATTCCTCAGAAATAAATGAAATTCAGATGCAGTGCTGAATCCACTTGTAGAAATCTTATCAGTATTGCCGGGTTATTATAAATATATATTGTCCTGTGATTTTAGTCTGAGTTATTTGCCAGGCGAATGACTGTCTTATTAGGTAGAGAGTGATTTTAAATTATTTCCAAACAGTGGTGTATATTAGGTATATTTAGAACCATTTAAGTAAACCCTACAGTATATCACTGTGGACAAGTCATTTATCTGTTTGGTCAGACACTTGCTTTTTTCAACTTCTAATAATTTTTTACTGATGTGTTTTCCTGAATATTGTTATTTTACAAATGATGAGTACCCTTGAACACCTGTAATTTAAGGCAGTCTTATCATAGAAGGTAGTCAGTTCACACTTGATAAATCCAGTTTCATAAAGTGTAGTAGTGTATTGACTAAGATGGGGATAAGCAAACATATAAGTGGAAATCTAGTTTCCATATTAATACGGCTTTTACTTGGTGATCAAGTAAACATACTGAGTTTTTATTCAGTGATAATAAAGTTGGTTGATAAATATTTATTATCGTCATGACTCGAAAGTGAGAAAACTATACTTAGAAGTACGAAGCAAGATTTATAAATGAACATAATGAATGAATGAATGTTTGATATAAATTAGCGGAAACTCAGAAAATATGTCAAACCTGTGAAGAATTTTAAGAAAACATTAGGATATCTGTAGTGACCAGCTTTATTACTCATCATAGTACTATACTTTCATTATGTAATTGTACTTCGATTTGTTTATTATTCTAAATCTGGCATGTTAACAATTGATACTTTTTGTACTCGCTCGATTTTTGAATTGTTGATTGCTGCAATAATACACTATCGTATTCCTTCGCAAGTGCCTTTTGAATTACGTTGCTGATGTCGAGTAATCGCAACGTTAGGGCACAAATATAAATGCGAGGAAGTATTATGATATGTGTATACGCTAGCTCAATCAAAATATAGCAGCAACAAAATTGGTGAGCCCGACATAGCTGATTGATGGACTACATCATTTCAAAGTATACATAGTGGAATAAATCATCTTTGCCATCGCACTAACTTTTATAACTTCATAACATTTGGATGTATAATTCCTGATATTTCTGCTAAAAGTACCTCCGGACCTGGCGGCACAGCAACTGCTATCCCAGTTCACCATGATACTCAAGCAGCTGTAGCAGCTGGCTGTTATGCAACACCTCAATTCCAGTTCTCTGTCCTCAAGCTTCAGCATTGCCTACAGGTGTGCAAACACTCTTACAATGGTCTGCAACTCCATTAACTCAAGCCGGTCCTACAACTGTTCAATTACAACAGTTTACCCAATCACCTCAACAACAACAGATTCAAGCACAAGCTCATCAGTTACAACCAGCTCAACAGCCAACTTATATCCAACAACATCAGCAACAAGCAACAATGATGGCAACTGACGTCCCTGTCAGTGGTCAACCTGGTACTGTAGCTGCTCGCTCCTATGCTACTCCCCAGTTTATCACTCTGGCACCAGGAGCTCCATTAAAAGTCATGACTGTTGTTCCTAACGGTCAGTTGATTCAAACCACTGGTTTACCACAGCTTGTGCCCACTGCTTCTGTTGGAATCGCTATCAATCAACCAACTGCTACTCTCCAACCGCAGCAAACATCAATTCAAGTTACTCCTCAACGCCGAGTAACAACACCCCAGCAACAACAACAACATGCTGACGGACGTTCACTTTCAACCGTATCAGCAGCAGCAGCTACTGCTGCACTCTTCTCTCGCACAGCCATCTCTTCTTGTACAATTCCACTTGTACAACCAGCTTTCATGGAAATAGAGGTAACTGAATGTTTACCTAGGTCATTTCCATACTACCTTATTACGGTACTATTAACTGTATGTTAAGATATAAATCTATTCCGTAACTCTTTACAATAACAACCCCATTATTATTCTGATAATTTTTCTGGTTTTATTGTTACATTTTGCACAACTTTCTAAACATTTTGGTTCGTTTCGAAGTTGTTAACATTTTTGCATATATACAGTTATGTTATCAAACCTCAGAAAACTAAAAATCCTCAATTCGGTTTTCATAACAAAAACTCATATATTTTTTCTGTGTCATTGTAATTTACAATATCATTCCGAATACAGGTAAACTTCATTTACCTGCATTCTACGGAGGGGCTATTGTAGTGACCAGCTTTATTACTCATCATAGTACTATACTTTCATTATGTAATTGTACTTCGATTTGTTTATTATTCTAAATCTGGCATGTTAACAATTGATACTTTTTGTACTCGCTCGATTTTTGAATTGTTGATTGCTGCAATAATACACTATCGTATTCCTTCGCAAGTGCCTTTTGAATTACGTTGCGGATGTCGAGTAATCGCAACGTTAGGGCACAAATATAAATGCGAGGAAGTATTATGATATGTGTATACGCTAGCTCAATCAAAATATAGCAGCAACATATCTGTCTAAACATAATAACAGCATAACCCAAATATCAGATACTTTCGGCTCTGTAAAGTGGATATATGATGAATTCGCACACATGCTCATTAGATCCAGATATTAACGTCCACCTGAAACTACTGTATGCATGTCTCCTTTTTCTACTGCATAGAAATACTGTGAGTATTTTAATGTCATTGTTGTGAACGTCCATCCAAAATCTCCACTCACTTATACAGTTAGACAGTATTTGTAGTCATCAATTTTGTCGCCGTTTTTATCTAATTATTATATCTGTTACCAGCATCTTTTCCTTGACCACGCGGACTGGCCAAGATCCTAACAGTGATATGGACTAATCATCAACCACTAACTTCAATCAAAAGTTAACCGCCCTTCTGGTTTAATAGAGCTACAGCAGTGAGGTCAGCCACTCAGAAATCCACAAAAAGTCAAGATCTATCCGTTACTATTTAGAAACAGATTTGAAAAATCCATAGGACTCACAATAACTCGTTATAAGGACACTGATTTAAAATTTCAGACCCACTGCTATACCAGTAGCAGTTTAAATTTTCAAAATAATTAATGATGTTATTGTCATGTTGAGAGAAAAGTTTTCAAGATCCAATATCTTGTTGGCGAGCTCATTTGAGCATTACGATTTCTTTGTGGTCACTATTACAATCCTTCTTCTCAACTGTTACACACAATAAGAAGAGGTTCATAAGTTAATTTTGTGAGGAAACTTAAAGTTTGTACTTGCTTTGAAATTAGAGTCTAATTGCAAAACATTTGTAACTCCATTTTAAAACAGAGTTACCGGCCTAATGTTTGCAGTCCATGACAACAGATGCCATTCTGAAGTTACGTAATTCCTAATTGAAAGTCATGAGTACTATTCTTAGAAATATATTTAATGTTT